AAGGGCACAGACACTTTGGAAAACAGTCTGGCAGCTCCACAACATGTGAAAAGTAGAACTTCTGTATAACCTAGCGACTCCACTCCTGGGTGTATATATTTGTGAGTATACCCAGGAGAAACAAAGACATATATATAATGTGTATCTCCATGAAAAAGTTTGTACATGGATGTTCGTAGCAGCACTAATCACAACAACCAGAAAGTAGAAACAACCCAAGTATCTGTGGATGGTTGGATGGATGGATGGAGGGATGGATGGATACACAGAATGGGGTCCATGCACACAGTGGAATATGACTCAGCCAGGACAAGGAGTGAAGTTCTGACACAGGCTACAATGTGGATGGACCTTGAACACATGATTCTCACTGACAGAAGAAGACACAGAAGGACATACAGTGTGTGATTCCATTTACAGAAAATATACAGAACAGGCAAATCCACAGAGACAGAAGGGAGATTCGTAGATGCCAGGGGCTGGGCGAGGGGGTTGGAGAGTGACAGCTAAGGGGTGAGATGTTTCTTTTTGTGGCGACGGAAAAACGTTAAAAAAAGAAACTTACTGTGGTAGTGGTTGCTCAACTCTGTGAATATGCTAAAGCCAACCTCATAAATACACCCAAAACTACTGAATTGTATGCTTAGAAGGGTGAATTTTACCATATGTGAATTATATCTCAATAAAGAAAACCAGAAAGGATAGCAAAAAATTAAATTTAAAAATTAAAACTATTTTTAAAAGCCAGTGAATTAAATAATTTTTTAAAAGCTATAGAATTTTTTAAAAAATTTTAAATAAAGCACTTCCGCTACATTAACAAAATATGACAGTTATTGTGAAGAAAAGTGCTTGTGCAGATACTAAGTTGCGAGCTGAACCAGCTGCTCTTTTCGTGGAACACCATTTTTGGCTTCTTGGTTAGAAGATGCCACGTGGAGCAGAGTATCCCGGCTTATTGCTAAACCGGCCCTAGGAAAAAGCTTGAAAATTGGTTCTCCAAGCCAGCCAACAGGAACACGAAAAGGTGTTCAACGTTGCTAATCATCAGGGAAATGCAAATCAAAACTACAGTGAGTTATCACCTCACACCGGTCAGAAGGCTGTCATTAAAAAGAACACAAATAACAGATGTTGGGGAGGGTGTGGAGAAACGGGAACCCTCCTGCACTCTCAGTGGGAATGTAAGTTGGTGTAGCCACTATGGAGAACGGTATGGAGGTTCCTTAAAAAACTGAAAATAGAGCTGCCATATGATCCAGCAATCCCACTTCTGGGCATATATCCAGACAAAATTAATTTGAACAGATTCATGCACCCCAAAGTTCATAGCAGCACTATTTACAATAGCCAAGACATGGAAGCCACCTAAATGTCCATCAGCAGAGGAATGGATAAACAAGAAGTGGTACATATATACAATGGAATACGACTCAGCCGTGAAAAAGAATGAAATAACGCCATTTGGGGCAATATGTTCCTGTAGCTTATTTATACATAGTAGTCTGTACCTCTTAATCCCCTCCCCCTATCTTGCCCCTCCCCCCCACTGGAAACCACTAGTTCTCTATCTGTGAGCCTGCTTCTGTTTTGTTACACAGTATTCACTACTTTGTTGTATGTTTTAGATTCCACATAAAAGTGAGATCATACCGCATTTGTCTTTCTCTCTCTGACTTATTTCACTTAGAATAATGCCCTCAAGGTCCATCCGTGTGGCTGCAGATGGCATTATTTCATTCTTTTTAAGGGCTGAGTCGTAGTCCATTGTATAAATGGACCACATGTTCACCCATTCCTCTGTTGATGGACATTTAGTTTGCTTCGGCGGGTGGGTCTTTAATGTAGTATAACTGGTGTCATTATAAGAAAAGACACAGAGAGACACTGAGAGGAGAAGCCATGTGACAATGCGGCAGAGATTGGAGAGATGTGTCTACAAGCCAAGGACCAGCAAGGATGGCCAGCAGCCCCCAGATTCTGGAGAGAAACCTACAAGAGATTCTCCCCTGGAGCCTCCGGAAGGAACCAGCCCTGCCCACGCCTTAATCTGAGACGCTTGTTTTCCAGAACCGAGAGAAGATACTTTTCTGTAGGTTTCAGCCATCTGGTGTGTGGTCATGTGTGATGGCGACCACGGGGAGACTAATACAGGTGTACGTACTCAGGTGGCTCATCAAACTGCAGGGCTTGGCCGAGTAGGTGTTCAGGGCAGTAATATTAAGTGAACAACATCCAGTGAGTGATCGCCATTTCTCTGTGTTCTCTGGGGGAATCCACTGCATTGCTCTCCCAGACACACTGTATGATATTTGATGTTGGCTCTTTAGACTCCCTGGTCTGAAATGCTTACCCTCCATCTTCCCATGACCTTCCATCTACAGAGCAGGCTCTGGTTTGTTAGCAGGATGCAGTGTATCAGGGGCTTTCAGATCTGTCTTCTCACTTAATTCTCTGCAGATGTTGAGAGAAAGGCCCTGTTAATATGCCACTTTCTCCACCGTGGGAACTCTGGGGCTCCTAAGATGAGGAATAAGGCTTTTATACCCAGACCTTCTGCCCTCCGTAATCAACGAGTGATTCCTCCACCTGGCTGTGCACCCTGTTCAGTCCAGACACCCCATCAAAACACACGTTCCTGGGCCCCGTCCTCTGAGAGTGACCTGGGTAGATATCAGGTCGACAGTATTTTTAAGAAGTTCCTCCAGTGATTCTGTCGCTGGCCCCACAGAGAGGCGCTCAGGGAGAGCACTGAGATTGTTTGCAATTCCGTCGTCATCTCTCTGGGTTTACGAGAGCCTGGGTCTCCTTTCTGGAAGAAAAAGAATTCAAGGACCGTTTGCACGCGCGCTATGCCCGACACTCGAGCACAACGTTGCAAAAAGTCAGATGAGTGTTTATTTGTGTGTCCCGTGACACATCAGACATGGTTTCAGGAATCAGTTTGCAACAGCACGGAAATCATGGACCAGCTTAAACTGGCTTTGCCTCCTTCAATAGGTGGTTGATTAATCAAGCTGAAACAGCACCAGCTTCACCTGGTTTCGCCTCACTTAATAGGTCGTTGATTCATCAATCCCCGAGTTATTTTACAGAGACAGCACTGCACATGCTCAAGACGGGAACCCATGTTTCCAGGGTGACCTCGGAACCAAGAATCTTCAGTGTACACAACTTAAGGACTAGAAATGTTAGCACTGGAGCCCTTTACGAAGCGAGAGCCCCTTCGATCAGGAAAATCTGGCTTCCAGCTGCAGGAGTAGCTTATATGGCCTGATTGGAGACTAGCCAATCAGCTTCCAAGCTTGAAACTCCCTGACCCCTTAAAGTTCGCTCCGGACGCCAAATCGTGTAGATGGATTTGCGATCCCGGCCTGCTGCTAGTTGACCTGACGGTAAAGCTCTTCGTTTTCTGGGAAAGCTGCTGCCATTAGCCTTGGCTTCTCTGCCCGTCGGGGGGTGAGCCTTTGCTCGGTGACAAGTCTTGGGGGCGCTTATCACATGCTGAGTCACCTAAAGCTACTGCATCTCGGTCAGTGTGCCCACCACCAGCCCCAGCGGCCGGGTGAGAGGTCTGAGACGTGTGTCCAGGAGGGATGACAAGGCGTTGGTGCCATTTTTCATGATGCTGTTGAGTAGGATCTTGTACCGTCAGTGGGATGCAAAGGTAAGAATGCATTGGGTGCCTTTAGGTGTGCAGCCTGGGTTGGATTTCCACGTGCTTTCTACAGAGGCACGTTCAATCCCGTTCAACCTCACGGCGGGAAGGGTGGCTTCCAGTCTCCCTAGTTCAAATAGGGTCACTCTGGGGGAAAAGAAAGAACAATTAAGACTCCAACAGCAGTCTCCACGAATTGTTGCCAAACTTGTATCTGGTGGAGCTGGCTGGAATATGACAACCCCAAAGACTCTTGCACACACCTGCCTATCTTTGTTTTGTGCCCCATCTTTTCCATGCAGCCCAGGCTGTGGTCACCCATGGACTTGGTCAGACAGCTGTGGGAGAGAAATGGGCTGAATTCTTAATGAGTTGGACCATTGTCAAAGCAAGGTGGGGAATCCAGGCTAAATGCCATCTGGAAGTGAAGATGCATTTTTCTAATTACTGGAATCATATGTCTTCCGTTGTATCAGTTTGAGGGGAAATTGTGATGTTTTTAGCTCACTTTGCAATTTGTGCTGTTTTTGGAAATGTATAAAAATACTGAATCAAGTACACCTGAAACTAATAGACTATACAGCAACTATAGTTCAATTAGAAAACCCTGTAGGTTTTAAAAATCTAAACGTCACTGATTAAAACCTGAAACTTTCCCAAGATAGTGAGTGTAGTATTTCCAGCACAGCAGCTAGACTTACACTTTCCTGGTCCCTGTATAATCGTCTTATGGGGCCTTTGGCTGCGTGTGTTAAACGTTTCCCAAACGATTGGTCCCATCTGCCCTTCCTGACCCTCCCCCCGCCGAAAAACCATTCTGGTTGATTACTGGTGAAAATCAGGCTTTGAAGCAAGGCACTGCCCTTTTCTCCCATGCTTCAAAATCCCCATCAGAGCCTCAGCCCACCGGCTGTGTTGCCCAGCAAACGATTCTCCATTACTCAGTTTCTCCGAGACCAAGTCTGGTCACCCCAGACCTTCTCTGCAGATGCATTTAACCCGGATTAGACTCTACCGCGTTTCATGTTTTATGTCCACGTGGCTTCTCCTGTGTAAGTCCCCTGAGGTCAGGGTCTGTGCCCCACTGGGGTACACGGGGAAATTGAGAGGATGCCCAGGTACCGAAGCCTGTTCGCTAGCCGCGTCGAGGGCGGCGCTTGCAGATAATTGTTAGCAAAGCAACCCTGAGTCCCCTGCTCAGCAAAGCCCAACTCCCGACCCCGGGTTGTGGTGAAGGAAAGAGTAGCGTTTATCTGCAAGACGCCCCACGCGCGGCCAAGTGCAGAGAAGGGCGGCCCGCGCTGAGGACCCCAACTCCCCGAAGGCCTTCAGGGGGAGGCTTTCAAACCGGGGTGACGGAGAGGGTTTCGGGTGCGAGATCAGCTCGTGGACCTTTTTCGGCTTGGCTGGTGGGGGAGCAGGCGTCCGCGTCGTCAGCCTTCTGATTGCAACCACCTGGGGTCCCCGAGCCGGTGGGCGGCGTGCAGGTAAGTTCTCCCACCTGGTGGGGCTTTCCGTCTCTGCAAAGCAACGCAAAGGACGTGGCTCAGGATCTGATCTGTAGCCCTTAGGGAGGAACTGAAAGTCCTTGGCTCTGTTTAACGGCTAAACTATTCTTATTTTTGTCTTAGTGACTGTGTTCCTTTGTGTGTATATTTTCTCACTTCTGTAATAAAACTTGCTCTCTGGAGATCCGGGAAGGCCTAGGAGGCTAAAGCTGTTCTTAGAAACAAGAGGCAGGGGACGTGGGGGGAGGGGTCCATCCCCGGTGTGTCACAACATCCATAAGTTGCATATTCATGTTCTCACACTCAGGGAGCATTAGCTGCCTCCCCACCCAATGCTCCCAGAGAGAAGGTATCTTTTATCCCATGAAGAAAAAGGGGACTGTTTTCCTTATCAGTAGAGTTTAATTTTTTTGCCGTTTCTTGTTCGTAGAGACTGGTCTCTTCCTTTCTGTTGGCTCCGACCACCCCCATCTTTTATTTTTTTAATCTGTACCCTGGAGTCCGTCCGTTTCATCCTTGATTTGTTTCCTCTTGCAATTGTATCCCCTGCCTCACAGCAGGGTCTTCCTCCTTCCATGGCTGCGTCTTCGTTTTCCCTGAATTGTGTTTCTGTGTTACCTGGGTGGAAACATCGAGGGGTGGATCAGCTGCCCCTCATTTTCGTTCAGGTAAATACCACTCCAGTGTTCAGTACGCTTTGTCAGCAGAGATGAAATGGCATTTGGCTTAAAAACGCCTCATGAGTTCAACATTTCCCTGCTACAGAAAAAGCAGTGTTCCCCAGAGTGGCCAGCTGAATCCTCCCCGTTTGCCCAATTATTAACCACAACATCACTCCTTTTTGGCCTGGCAGGACAACAAAAGCGATAGTTTTATTTGGCGAGATTTTAAAATCGAGACGGGACTAAGTTACCCAGTTAATGTGACATAGGCTAAGTGAGCTAAGATATGACACACAAGGGTTTGTTACAGTGGAACACACTTAGGTGTTGTTTTATAAGAGATGTAACTGACCAGAGGGAACTAGGAAGGAAAAAACCATCAAAAACCACCAGGCAGGGCTTGGAGACCCCACGGAACAAACCCTGCTTCAGGGCTGGGCCCTCTGCAGACACAAAGCCACTTGGTTTCTGGGCCTGGAGTGTCCCTCAGAGTCAGCAAGGATGCTGACTGAGGTCGATTGGAACCATCGCGCAGAGTTCTTCGTGCCCGCGATAAGGATGCTCTTCATTCTTGCCTGGGTATAGAAGGGTTGTGGGTTTCTCTTGGCCGAAGGTCAGTGCTCCGCTCTCCACCTGGAGAGCTTGTTCAAGAGCTAGGTTGAAGGGGGGAGTTCCCCGGCGGTCCAGTGGTTAGGACTCCACGCTTCCACTGCAGGGGGCACGGGTTTGATCCCTGGTCGGGGAACTGAGATCCTGCAAGCCCCGGCCAAAAAAGAAAAGAAACGAAATAGGTTTAAAAAATACAAGATGATTTCATTCTGCCATTATGGGCTCATGACAGGGACTCCCAAGTCTGATAAATAATCCGAAATTGTGTGCATAAGTTTGTTTCTTGCAAGTAAATATAATGCCAACTCTCCGGGCATTGGTGGTTTCCGCTTAGGAGTAAACGGTTGTTTACGCGTCATCTGTTATTAACATAGTACACAAGCCCAATGAGCATCTTCTGAGAGTTTTTTTTATGAGAACTCGGCTGCAGAGGTAGTTGGCAACGGTCCTGACCTTCAGCTGTGCCCTCGGCCAAGCAGGGCACTGTGTTCCCCGCCTGGGTCCTTGGTCTACTCTAATCAGTAGAAATTGGTTAGAAGCCACATGAGGAATTCAGGCGAGGCTGTCTTGGGACTTGTCCTGCACCAGGAGGGAGTGAAAACAATTAAGAGGAGCTTTGATCTATTCCCTGAGCTGGTTCCTTAATGGGCTGAGAGTGGGAGTAACTGGGTGGGTTGGGATGGAGGGATAGCTTAGGGGGTCTACCCACCCCTCGGTGGTGCCGTGCGCAGGAGCCTGCTTTTGCTCGCAGCACCTCAGAAATGGCAGTTGGGGTTTGGTCTTTGTATCTTATTGTTCGTAACTTCCCACAGCTGTGTGCGGTTATTTTTAGCCCCTTACAGTTTCTTTGTATTTTGCTGCTGGAGGACAGCTGTGTCCAGGCGCGAGCCCTGCAGCAAAGGGTCCCAGCTCCCAGCCCACCTCCACGGCAATTCCCACAATTTCAGGAAGGGGCATCACGGGTATTGTATACAGCCGGTTGCGGATGTCAGTGTGGTGATTGTATACAGCCGGTTGCGGATGCCACTGTGCGTATTCTCACCTCTTGGTTATAGGTCACAGCTGGTTTTGCCTCGTCCTTTTCCACTGAGTTTGCCATGTGGTGTTTGGTTAGTGATGTTGCAAGCTGAGTATTCGTATTGACATTTTGGGGCCAAAAGATACGAATGTTTTTTGATTCCAATACAAATCACAAAAATGTCACCTGAGCATGGGATTGCTTGCAGGTCCTGTACCTGTGCAAATGTATTCTATCATGTCCTCACGGTGCTTTAAAAGTTTATCCCATAACTGAATTTTTCACGCTTAAATCGCACTTTGTTTTTTATTGACCGTAAAAAGAAGTTTGCTGGTGGATTCCACAAATTGCTACGTGGGACCTGCAGGTGTGCTGATTGCTATAATTTTTAAAAGCGTTTGTAAAATCGTGATGTATCCGTTTGCTCGGGCTGCCGTAAAATGCCCCAGACTGGGGGCGCTTTTAGACATCAGGCATGTATGTGTCCCAGTCCTGGAGGCTGGAGTCTGAGATCCAGGCGTGGGCAGGGCTGGTCCCTCCCGAGGCCTCTCTCCTGGGCGTGTAGATGGCTGTCTCCTCCCTGTGTCCTCACAGGGTCGTCCCTCTCTGCCCGTCTGTGTCCTAATCTCCATTTCTTAAAAGGAAACCTGTCCTTTGGGGTCAGGACCCACCCTAGTGACCTCATTTACCTTCATCCCGTCTTTGAAGACCTCATCTCCAAATACTGTCACATTCTGAGGTCCTGGGGGCTCGGACTTCAACACGTGAATTTGGAGGGGACAGATTTCAGCCTGTAGCACATAAAGGGACAATTGAACACAACCAGATACATCCATACCCCTGCGGATGTGTGTAGACCCCTCTTTTCACTGTTACTATGTCCACTTTTCCATTGGGGGTGCACTGGTCCTCATGTGCTTTCATCAGTGAACCTGAATTTATCATGCACCTCAGTTTTATAGCCGGCATTAAAGGCGTTACTAAAATCCCAATGAAATGACTCCTGATACCTTGGTTTTTCCTACTAATTGGGCGTTTCTACTACAGGCCATTGTATTCATCTGACTTGATTTGCTTTTCATGGGTCTGTGCTTCTGTCTTCCCCTGATTTGGTCATTCATGTCTTACACATAGATTATGGGGAAAGAGGAACATCACAGAGGACAATCAGATGAGTCCGTGCTCCCGGACCGGCAAAGCCAAACTCGCCTCGTTACATCCTTTATTAGGGGCCTGCTTTTTTGTGAAATCCCTACATCTCATGATTCAAAACTAAGCGTCGGTGGATTGTTTATGGTTTTTATCCTCCTTAGTATACTTTTACGTATGGTAGTCATTTCTGAATATATTCTCTTTGGAAAAATGTAATATGTGTCATAAATCTCCATTTCCCTGTTTCCATTCAGCTTTTTTTTTTTTTTTAATTGGCTGCATTGGGTCTTCGTTGCTGCGTGCAGGCTTTTTCTAGTTGTAGTGAGCGGGGGCTACTTTTTGTTGTGGTGCACGGGCTTCTCATTGTGTTGGCTTCTCTTGTTGCAGAGCACGGGCTCTAGGTGGGCAGGTTTCAGTATTTGTGGCATGCAGGCTCAGTAGTTGTGGCTCATGGGCTCTCGAGCGCAGCCTCAGTAGTTGTGGCATACAAGCTTACTCCGCTTGTGGGATCTTTCCAGACCGGGTCTCGAACCCGTGTGCCCTGCATTAGCAGGCAGATTCTTAACCACTGCTCCACCAGGGAAGTCCCCATACAGCTTCTTGATCTAGTAGGAAATGCTGTTTTGAAAATGGTGCACACGTAATGTGTGTACAAACTATATGTGCATATAATATAACTATGTATACAAGTGGTTTATATATGTGTACATCACGTAATATACATATGTGTGTGGTAAGAGGTAGATTTCACGTTATGTCATTTTTCATCTTTTTAAAATTTTTTATTGACGTATAGTTGGCATACAGTATTTTTATACAGATAGCGACTCACAATTGTTAAATGTCATAGTCCGTTTATAGTTACTACAGAATATTAGCTGTACTGCCTGTGCTGTACAGTATATCCTAGTAGCTCATTTTATACGTAATAGTTTGTATCTCTCAACCCCCCCCATCTTGCCCCTCTCTCCCCCCTCTCCCCATTGGGGACCACGAGTTCTCTGTATCTGCGTCTGCTTCTGCTTTGTTATATTCACTAATTTGTATTTTTTAAGATTCCACATATAAGTGATATCATGATATTTGTCTGTCTTCACTTAGTCTGATCATCTCTAGGTCCATTCATGTTGCTGCAAATGGCATTGTTTCATTCTTTTTTTTTTTATGGCTGAGTCATCCCATTGTATACACGTACCACATCATCTTTATCCATTCATCTGTCGATAGGCACTTAGGTTGCTTCCATGTCTTGGCTATTGTAAATAGTGCTGCTGTGAACATTGGGGTGCATGTATCTTTTCTAATTAGAATTTTCTCCCAGATGTATGTCCAGGAGTGGGATTGCTGGACCATATTGCAACTGTTTTGTAGTTTGTTAATTTTCTAAGGCATCTCCATTCTGTTCTTCACAGTGGCTGCACCACTTTACATTCCCACCAACAGTTTTTACCACAAACATTGAGCATCTAGTGAGTTTCTTCCAAACCTGTCATGTTACTGATGAAGAATCACTTTTTGAGGCAGGTAGAGACTAGAGATTAATCGTCTTTCCATACGTGGGCATAAAATAATGGAAATGACATTTCTATTCCATTTGTTTGGATTTTTTCAACACTGCACCTGGTGCTAGGGCGGTTGATGGTGCTGAAATAAAGTCATTCAAAATATCCAAAATTATTTTAAACAGTGACAAACTAGGGAAAGGCAGCTCTATTTACTTCCCACATGGGCACTGATGCATTTTCAAACAAAATAATGGGATATGAGTAAACTTCGAACGCATCGTGTCCAAGTACGTTTTGCTCAGTGATGGAAACAGCCCTGGGGAAAATTGACATGGAATGAAGACCTTCTGGTCCGTGTCTTTTGGCGCATTCGTTTTCAACATTTGGTTCTCCTTGAGAAAGCTACCCAACAGAAGAAAAAACACCAAATTAAAGTAAATATTCAGAGATGGAGAAGGAACACGTTGTTCTGATGGCTGTACTTTTTTTTATTGAAGTGTAGTTGACTTACAAATGTGTTTCAGGTGTACAGCAAAGGGACTCAGTTATAAATATATATATCTAATCTTTTTCATATTCTTTTCCATGATGGTTTATCACAGGATATTACATATAGTTCCCTGTGCTTTACGGTAGGACCTTGTTTATTTTATATGAACAGCAGTTTGTCCGATGGCTGTGTTTTTCACGGAAGGCTTTGAGAACTCACCTGGCAATAGCGTCTTGGGTCATCCACCCTTCTTGTTCAGACAGTATTATTTCCTCTCCAGAGGCCAGATGGCAAATGCGGGGGAGAAAGATAAGTGCAGCCCCCGTGGGGCACAACCACGGGAGCAGCTGAGAATCGCAAAGAAACGCACCCCGTTAGCTGGTGGGCTGGCTGGCGTCTGCACCCCGGGAGGTGGCCTCGGCATCAGGGGAAGAGATGGGCCTTCAGGAGCCGGAGTGCAGGCAGGGCTTCGAGCCTCTGTCAGCGCCTTAATGAGCCTTCATGTCCTGTTCCTAGTTCGACCCCGGATGGATGACCTAGGGGTGTGTGGCGTTGTCTTCCTAAATCCTGGAATCCCTTTAGGAGTGTTTTAGTATTTCATTAAAAATGTGTTTTCTGTAAGGGGTAGGAATGTGTGTCAATCAGAGTCGAATAGCTGCAACAAATAGTTTCCAGTGTCTTGACAGCAAAGTTGCCAGGGGCTGGGAAAAGTGTAGGAAGGGGCACGTGTGGACACTTGCAGGGTCTAGAAGGGCCTGCGTCATGTTCCTGTATGTGTCATTGGCTGGAACAGGGGCCTCCCTCCCTGCACGTGAGCCCAGGAAGACGAGGGGATCGGTCTGGGTCACGCGTGAGCTGGCCGTCCCTTTGCTGCTTCTGCTCTAGAGCTGCCCAGCTGAGAGCTGCTGGTGAGTTAAGAACATCAAAGAGGAGAAGGAAGTACACTGAAAGAGCAAAAAGGGAAA